AGATGGAGAGGCAGTCCTCCAGTTCTGCTTCTGGCCGGTCATCTTCAACTTCCTACCCTACGAAGAGAAGATCCGACCTGCTCGCTATCTTAAAGGTATTCAAATTTTCATCACTCATATATATTTTTCACCCCCTTGTTTTCTTTTATGATACTTTTTTATCAGGATCTTGAATATTTAAGCCATATTTCAAAGCTCAATGCACCCTAGTATTTATATAAGCGATTTTCCGTAATTGAATTGGAGAAACATTATGTTGAGCTAGCTTATAGTGAAAACTAGAGTATCTATAAGACAGAATCATAGATGCTAAGATCATTGTTACGAGTGAAAATGTATCCAAACCAAGCGCCGGGGAAGTATGATTTAAGAAATCCGAATTTCTCTAACTTTTGGGTTTGATATTACATATCTGATGAACTCAAGATCTCCAAAATTTGAAATATTTGAGACACAAAGATGTTTGTTAAGGATGGAATGCCTTTATTGAAGGTTTATAAAGAATCCTTGATTCTACACTTTCTCGAGGATCAGCAAGAAGACTTTATGGTGAGAATTTTTTAACTCGGAGAATTTCAAAGTTCTATATTTTAACACTTGACACTCGTCAGTTAACAAAAGTCCGACATCCATTATTACCACCCTCAGTCATTGGCAATCAATTATGGGTGTGCATTCGGTTGATTCAATTGGATTTATTGACAAATTCGTTAAACCAATCAAACCAAACTAAATAACAGATAAAAGCGAACCGGCCAAATAAGATGTGGAATCAAACCAAACTAAATCACAATATAATTTAGTTCATTTGGGTTGTTTTGGTTTAACCAAATTTAAAATCCTAATAAAGGGGCGCACATTTGGTTAATTCGGATGGATTGGTTAATAAATTTATTAAATTAATTGGTTGATGAATTTGATTTGACTGTAATGTAGTTTTTTGTGTGTTAAATCAAATTATTTTTTTTCTTTCAAAATGATGAAATAACCGCAATCCAAATAAGCTTTAATCTGTGATTTGAAAAATTAAACCCCATCAACCAAATATGATCTATTTGTTTTGATTTTTCGGTTTAAATTAATTAATGGACACACCTATGATTAGTCAACACCAATACATGCCACCAACTAAAATAATATATCTTTTTTAATTTAGTTTGCTGATTATGAAGGTTTGACACTAGACTTTTTGGTCGTTTGATCTCTCATTCTACAGGGAGAAAAATTGATTTAGATCGCTTTATGTCTCCGGAACTCTAGCACCATCATTAGCGATAGAATGACTCGCACTAAACTCTGTTGCCTGATTTATGTCAACTACCAAAATCCAATACCTTATCTCCTTGGTCACCAATATTTCCTCCTGTATGAAAAACGAACAAGCGTAAAACTGACAATTGCACAATGTTCACCATTTCCTGTTGACTGTTGCCCAACATTTACTAATTTCTAAGGCTTGTCAATCATTAATGTTCGATACCCACCTTCTTAATTGTTGATCTACTATTATAAGGAAAACAGTTGAGCAAACTACCCATTGTTAGTCCTATAATCAATGTTCCCAGTCGATCTTTATCCGATTTTTGCTATTGTTTATGTTTGTCAACTATCAATTTTTGACACATCCATGATGGTTTCTTAATTCCCCTCCTATAATTATAACGATGGGGCAAGCTAGTGATCTTTGCTCAACCTGTGATGTTTGTAGTTAATTGTTGATTGATGCCTTTTAGGGATTGATATATATTAATGATTAGTCTTCCTTGCTTTCTTTTTTTTTTGTTGCTGGTCTTTCCTCTCATAAAAGAATCACTTATTGGACCTTTAATTGTCATCCAAAGTTTCACGTCGAAAGTCAACCGTCATTTAATGTTAGTTAACATCCAATTTATTTAAGCCACTAAATTTCAATTTTTGTCTTTATAGTCATTTGTCTCCTCTCCCATTAGAACAACCGTTCAAACAACTAATCATGGATTAATATTCAATTGTCTTAATTGAATTGTCATTTGAAACTTGATGATGTTCTACACATGCTAACCATCAAAGCTTGACGTCTGCATTCTAGGCCACTAGCCTCCCTGTTGAGAAATTAGGGCAAATCAATGCAGGAATCAACGAACACAACAAAGAACACACGTATTTAACAAGATTCGGCAAATTGCCTATGTCATCGAGAGCAAGAGCGGCGGCTTTCTGATTTCTCGAAAAAACAGTACATCTCCTTAGAGTTACAAATTAACTCTAGTTTATAATATGTAATTACAAAATTACTCTTGTACCGTACCGCAGGAGGTTGCCCCAACCCACATAACGAAACTCCCTTGATCAGACAGATGCTTTCGCTCCACTCCGCTCGCTTGCTCCGTTCTACTCCAGCATTTGTCCCTTACTGGTATATGAATCATACTAATCAAAGCCAAGCTTGTAACGCGACTAACCAATAATTTATATATTTCGGCTGTAAGTTTGTCTATTTAAACTTCATCAGGTCAGCACCCACCAGCATACAGCCCCTCTTTCCTCCTTCTGCTCTGCTTCTTTTCTGTCATTCCATGTGCATTAATATCTAAATCTTCCTCATCTTCCCCACTTCTCAATCACTCATTCTAAGGAAGAAGAAAAAGGAAAAAACTATTTAAGTTCGCTAGTCTTGACCTGCAGGAAATATAAATATGATCTACACAATGGCCTTTTGTGGTCTGCTTGTGGTTTTGTTGATCCAGTGGCTACAGACATGGAGGAAGCCAAGGTGCAACGGAAAGCTCCCTCCTGGTTCCATGGGCTGGCCCATTCTAGGAGAAACCCTTCAGTTCTTCAAGCCTTATACGACATTCGATATCTCTCCATTTGTCAAAGAGAGGATGAAGAGGTGCTTGGTTATCCCATTTTATTAAAAGCTTATTGGGAATCATTTTATTTTATTGAAATATATTTGTTTTAAATTTATCATATATATATTTTTTTATTCTTATAATATAACTGTACTATATAAGTCATCTTCAATTGATTTGCTTCAATTATATTTGGCATAAAAATAGTGAAAATATTTTTGAGATGCAATCAAATACATTATGTTACTGATTTTTATTATTATTATTTTAAAGAGCAATATTTCTAATAATTTAAATACAAAATTTTATCTTTAAAACATAATTAGTTTCTCCTCTGCCAATGTAGATATGGGCCAGTGTTCAAAACAAGCTTAGTCGGCCGACCCCTTGTAATATCAACCGACCCAGAGCTGAACCATTTTGTATTCCAGCAAGAGGGAAGGCTGTTTCAGAGCTGGTATCCTGACACATTTAAAGAGATATTTGGAAAAGAGAACGTTGGAGAATTGCATGGCTACATGTACAAATATCTCAAGACTTTGGTTCTTAGGTTGTTTGGCCCTGAAAACCTTAAAGAGTTTATGCTTCAAGACATGGAGAAGCTGGCTCGTGACAGACTCAACTTCTGGTCTCGCCAATCATGTATTGAGATCAAAGATCTCATCTCAGCTGTGAGCAATTTTCAACTTTTAATATGTAACGTGCTCTTGTGTGTATTTTTGTTTCTAATAACATTTTTTGTCTTGCAAATGCAGATGATCTTTGAACTCACAGCTAAGAAGTTGATTGGGTATGGGGCTTCTAATGGATTGGAGGATATGAGGAGCAATTTTGTTGCTTTCATACTTGGACTAATCTCCTTTCCAGTGAACGTTCCGGGAACTGCATATCATAAATGTTTGCAGGAATGTTATACAGTACCATGATTTGCTTTTCGTATATATTTAAGTTGATATTCGAAGCATAAATTATATGCAAATATATTATATATCACATTAGAAATTCATGGGAACAAAAATATTTTTATGTAAGGATAAACATAATCGAGGTAGATATCACTACAAGCAAGAACAAGTTTGGTTTGATAAAATAAATAAATGTTATCTTTTGATAAAATCATTTATAAAGGTGATATAGTAAAATAACTTGCCTAAAGATGAGATAGGGTGTGGCTCCCAAATATATAAGTTTAACTAATTCTAGCATCTAGACTTAAGGTTTTCTTAAATTTTGTAAGAAAACAGTTCTTAAAATATATTTTTTACAAAAACTATATTCAATAAAGTTTAAATATATATAAAGACATGAATTTTATCATTAAAGTTGATGTCCACAAAGCTTAATTGATTTGTGATTGAATTGAACTAGTTAATATGCTTTGCAAAATATCATAAAACTTAAAAATTTGCACGTAAGTTATGTCCTATTTTAAACAAAAGGCTTCTCTTTATACCAAATAATATATTTATTATGCATGATGTGGTATTTCATTGAGGACATTGAAGGCAACATACTTAATCAAGGATGGGTTCTTAGTGCTTGTCTATTATTTAGCTCTCACTCTAAATTAATAGTGAAAAGCTTTGATCCCTTCAAAGTTCAATAAAGCTTTCTTTGATAAAAATAGTCTTCTATTTACATCTTCCTAGAACTAAATTTTCAAATATTAAATACAACAATCTTATGCTCTTCTTTCTCTCTTTCTTCTGACTTTTTACTTTTGTTCGTACAATGCACCAACATATTGGTGCCATTTTTTTTATATAGTGCTTGGAGGTGGTAGGCAGCAAACTTAAATTTATTAGGTAGTTGACTATAGACATATAATGTTCATGTAAGGTAAAGGATGATATGCAATGATTTTATAGGTGTTACATAGGGGGTGGTAGACAAATGTTTATATGAGCTAATTAAAAATAATTTATTTTCTTATTCTAACGGCTACTTTTATTTCAGGGACGTAAGAAAATAATGAAGATATTGAAGAGAATTCTTGCAGAGAGAATGAAATCACCGAATAAGGACTGCAACGATTTCTTTGACTGCATAATTGAAGAGCTCCATAAGGAAAGACCAATTTTAACAGAGGCGATAGCTCTAGATTTGATTTTTGTACTTCTTTTTGCCAGCTTTGAGACCACCTCCCTAGCTCTTACCCTTGTTGTCAAACTCCTTACCGATCATCCTAAAGTGCTTCAAAATTTAAAGGTATCATATCTTACTAAAGTCTTAAACACACACGCCGCTTGCTCAGGTCAGTTGGTCGGGTATCTGCTTGTCAGTTGTAAGTCGCCTCTGGTCTGTGGTTCGATTTCCCAATGTGAAGGGTGTAGTACTCGAATTATTAGGTGCATTGGGGATTGCCAAGGCTCGTATATATATATATAGGCATACGTGTGCACGTATCCACACCCATATACATGTATACATACAAACATAAATATGTAATGATCTTAAGCATTTTGTAAATGGCAGGAAGAGCATGATGAAATTATTAAGAACAGAGAGAACCCGGATTCTGGAATCACATGGCGAGAATATAAATCTATGAGCTTCACATTTCAAGTAAGAAAACATTATGTTCACATGCAACACCACAATTTCTTATGACTTGTGCATAAATTAAGAACATTTATTGATGTTTTCAATTATCCTAAGAGAGATACACAGTATGCAAGATACATAAAGAAAAAATTGCATGAAGCCATAATGTCCTCCGGACATTCAAATAATATTTGTCATTGAAAGTAAATCGTTATTTAATAAATACAGATGAAGTCTTTCTTATCAATTTTGAAGCAACTAATCAACTCTTAAATAATAGTTAATTGCGCTAATCCCCAGCTATTAATTATACTTATCTTTAAAAAAATTAATTATGCTGGATGATTTGCAGAGAATTTGTATTTCTTTTCTGCTGAACAAGTGGAAGATTTCAAATTCTGTTATTTTATCTCTCTGGCAAATTTTGCAGGTCATCAACGAAGGCGTGAGGTTGGCAAACATAGTTCCTGGGATTTTCAGAAAGACATTGAAAGACATTCAAATAAAAGGTTTTTTTTTTTATTTATTTATTTTTTATTTTTGATAAAAAGAGCAACTTGTGGCTTCTTGCGCGTTAATTAAAGTAAAAGTTACAGAATTTGATGTTGAGATAGAGGATCCCCAACTACCTATAGGGTTCCTGTCTCCGCATTACAACTCTACCCAAAAAAAGCCAAAATACATGAAGCAATTGTAAAACATGTGTACCTGCAAAGGAGTATACCCAAAAACAGTCATTAAGAGACCCAAAAGCAAATAATAAAGCAAAGTAGCACAGTGTCTAATCATTCCAGCAAACCCCTTTATTGTTTACTTTGACTTTCACTGTTAAACCAAACATATATATATATATACTTTT